TTGAAAAATCTCAATTTAGTCCCTCGTTATAAAAGTGTTTTGAATTAGTCCTAACTTTTAAAATAGTGGGTCAGATTGGTCCTTTCTGTTAAATATAAGTTAACAAAATTAATGGATGATGATGTGACACAACTTAAAGCTAACGAGGGACCAATCTAACACATCAGCTTTAAGCTGTGTCACATCATCATCCATTAATTTCGTTAACTTATATTTAACGAAAGGGACCAATCTGACCCACTATTTTAAAAGTTAGGACTAATATAAAACACTTTTATAACGAGGGACTAAATTGAGATTTTTCAACCAAAGTGGGGACTAAATTGGCTATTAAACCTAATTTTTTTTAATTTTATTTTTACGTTTTGGAATTTTTATGCATATACTTTCCACTATTTTTTTTTTTGATAATTTTAAATGCAAGTCACTGTTCTTCATCGACATGTAGCCAAACCAAGTAAGCTGGAACGATTTCCACTGTTTGTCTAGAATCTGGATAAGCCGCGCACTGACCAATTTCACCAACCGAACCCATTCTAGAATCCGACGCCGGTGTAAGTTTATTTGCTTTGCCAAAATGTCACTTTCTGTCGGCCATTTTATCACTCTGCACATATTCTGCTCGATAAAATGCTCCTATCTCTCTGCCACCCTGAATTATTTGCTCCTGGTTTTTAAATGATTTTTCTCACTTTACAAACTGTTCCCTTCAAGTGAAAAATCTCATTCCATGTAATTGGTCGCGTACATCGGCAGCTAACAACGCATGTTGTTGTGTATCAGTTTGACAGTTTTGTTTCTTTTGATGGATAGGTCATGGTTTGCCAAGAGGGGTGAAATGAAGAAGTTTGCAGGATGTTCCCTGGTCGTTTCATTTGCTCCCACAGGTTCCAATATCCTTAAAAACAATGGCAGATTCCCACTACTTATATCTCGTAGGAATAAGTTCAGCTATAGGTTATTTTCTACTCGTGTTCTGAAAGCACAATTACATGATAAGCCTGGGGTGGTTTCCAGATACTATCTTCCTCCTTGGTTTAGGTGTGTTCCTGGTAATGGTATCTCTGCACTTTTTTTTTTTTTTTGGTTTTGGTGTTATCTGCCTGTATGTTGATTATAACAGTCATTTGATATTGTTTTTTGTTGGTTGAATTTTAGTGTTGCTCCAATGATGGAATGGACGGACAATCACTATAGGACTCTAGCACGCCTCATATCAAAACATGCTTGGCTGTACACGGAGATGGTTGCAGCTGAAACAATTGTTCATCAAAAGGACAATCTGGTAGATATATAATTCTGCATGTTAAAAGAAAACAAAAAATGAAATAAAATGGGTAGTATGAAATCAAAAGAGTTTTGCTTGTGTGAATAACTAAGATCATGATTGCAGTTTTGAAGTGTTTTATGTGATAAAATATCTCATATAGTAAATTGTATTGATTGGTTATCATTCAAAACCAATAGTTTATCTCATCTCACTGTGCAAACGCCAGTGCACAAGAGCTCAAAGTAACGCCGCATATTTCTACACCGTGGTTTCTGGATAATTTGGTATTGAAAAACCTATTATTCTTTTTATTTGTCTATTTTTCTCAGGACAGATTCTTGGCATATTCTCCAGACCAACACCCCATTGTGCTTCAAATTGGAGGGAGCAATATAGAAAATTTGGCTAAAGCAACTGAGCTTGCTAATGCTTATTGTTATGACGAGATCAACTTAAAGTTTGTACATTCAATCTTCTTAAACCTTAAAGTTTCGCTTTTCTACTACTGATCTTTGACGTACATTTCTTTTTCCAAAATTTATACCAGCTGTGGATGCCCTAGTCCAAAAGTTGCTGGGCATGGGTGTTTTGGTGTGAGTCTTATGCTTAACCCCAAGGTTAGAAAGCCATTCTTGGTGCTTAATTAAATATTAATATATGTAAACAGATAAATATATGTGTTATTTGTCAATGCAAATTGATATGGAAATCTAATGTATACAAGGAAAGTTTGTTGCTGAGGCCATGTCAGCAATTGCTGCCACCACGAATGTACCTGTCAGTGTCAAATGTCGAATTGGTGTGGATGATCATGATTCTTATAGTGAGCTTTGTAAGCTTCTTCTGTCTGCGATCTCTTTCTATTTTAAGTTTAAAGATTGCAAAGTATGGATTCGATGAATAGGTTTTCTGTTCTTTTTATAAAATTTGTAGGTACGGTATTACAGTTGCCATGTATATGTTAGTATCAGAAACATTTTATAAACTGATATCAAACAGTATGTCTTGCATTTAGTATGCAGTGAAAAGGGTTTCCGTGGGACAGGGTTATGAATTTGGTTTGTAACCAACTGTTACTGGAAAGGAAACTATTGGTTGTGAAATATGCAGAATCAATCACAAACATATTTGTGATGGAGTTTTTTTTTTTTTTTTTTGGGGGGGGGGGGGGGGGGGGTGGTTGGGCAACCTTTTTATTTTGGCCACTAATTGTTGGGCTTGGAGTTGTAGGTGTTTTACTTGTTTATTAAGATATCAGTTTTTTGCATTTGTGAAGATCAGTGATAATACATAATTATGAAGTTGTGTTTCCATTTATTCCAGAATCAAATTATTACCATTTTGGTTTATTCCACCTTCGGTCTGGATCTTAATAACGGAAAAGAAATAGAAATTTGTACTTTTTATACCCTTTGTTTCTTTGGATTGGTGCTTTGGGTTTCGTTGTTCTAAAGTATAGTGGATCTCTATATACATCATACGTTGCCATTGATGTTGTTTAGATCTTTGGTTACACACACAATACTTGTTCCATGGTTTTTAGGGTTACTCATAGAACTTTATGTTGTCTGTTAGGTGATTTCATATACCAGGTTTCTTCTTTATCACCCACTAAGCATTTTATAATTCACTCAAGGAAGGCACTGCTCAATGGTATTAGCCCTGCTGAGAATAGAAGCATTCCTCCTCTAAAGTATGTGCTAGTAATAATTGATTTTGTAGTTACATGATATGTAGAATTCCATGTGATAGTCTCTCATCTGTTTAAAATGTAGATATGAATACTTCTATGGCCTCCTACGTGACTTTCCTGACCTAACATTTACAATCAATGGCGGCATTACTAGTGTTGAAGAGGTGAACTATTGTCATTATAATTATTTAATATTCATGAGATTTAGGAGTTTTCCAGGCATAAAGGATTCCATAATCATTTATATCTACACATTGCCTAACTCTGGACACTTCTACTTTTACCTGTTTTCGCGGTACATTAATTATAGGTCCTTGCGGCTCGAGAAGCTGGGGCTCATGGTGTTATGGTCGGACGTGCAGCGTACACCAAGTAAGTTTCAAATAAGATAATTTCCCTTTTGCCTGTGTGATGTATCAGGATTCTGCTTTTCTGAAAATATATCCGAAAAACTTCAGTGTTTTGGGGGGACATAGAGTTTCTATTTATTACAATGTTTTTTTTTTGTTTGTATTAATTAACATGCGGTGGCTTGAGTAACCATTGTTGATAATCTTAACAGTCCTTGGCATATTTTGGGGCACGTAGACTCTGCAATTTATGGTACACCAAGTCCTGATCTTACACGTCGTCAGGTTCATTTACAGAATGTTTGGCTTTCCATGATTTTTTCTCTACCAATTCTGGGTTAACTGTCTCATTACTCAGAGTTTACAATTTTTTGTTTTAATTATTTATGTCTCACTTAATTAAGGTCCTTGAAAAATATCTAACCTATGGGGAATCGGTCATGGGAAAATACGGACGTAGGCCAACTATGCGAGATATTGTGAAGGTTGGAACAACAATAACTGTGGCACTTTATTTTCTGTCTTTTTCTTCTTCCATTCGCTGTAAATTCATATGTAGCATTTTATGTAGTATTGAATAGCTGATATATAAGGCGGTATTCTTTATATGTAGATGTAGCTTTAAGTTGTTACGTGGTAGACACATTTTCACTACGTATTGACTTTGTAATATATATACACCGCACAGAATTTTTTGGTTCCTTGTAGTCTACTTCATTAACACTATGTATTTTTTTCCTATTTTATGTTAGAAAATTGGAGGTTTTTTGTCCCACCTCCTCCTTTTTATTTTCATGAGGCAAACTATACTTCTATTAATGATATTCAATTTGCTGATATTATGCGGCAATTCTGTTATGTTGCTGCAGCCTTTACTCAATCTTTTCCATTCAGAACCTGGGAATGGACTTTGGAAGCGCAAAGCTGATGCTGCTTTCAAAAATTGCACGGTAAGATTTTGTATTGTGAAACCTATTAATTGATTGCTTAGAAGAGTATGCCGTTTATATTGTATAATAGGACTTTAAATGAAGCTATCAACAGAGTAAAGGATGTACAAACCTTTTTATCAAGCAAAGTTTATATACATGGTCTTCGATGTTTACTGTTCTTTTCTATGATTTCTACCTCACGGATGGTAAGGGGCATAATATATGGTCTGGTATACATGTCACCATCCATCTATCTAGCATTTGATGGTTTACTGGAGCGGTCTTCATTTCTACTGAAATTTAAAAATAATGCTTATGAAAATTAAAGATTCGTTGAGGATCCTTTTTTGATAATCAGTTTGGTTTATCTTAAAATAAGTGTTTTTGAAATAAGTAATTTTTAAAAGCAAAATCACTCTGTTTTTTTTTTAAAGCAGAAAACTCCTTATTCTTAAAATATGCAGATTAGACAAACACACATTTTGTTTTTGAAATAAAATAATCATTTGTTTAAGAAGCAGATTGGCTTTGCTTATTAAAATAAGAAGACTTTTCCTATTTAAAATAAACAGAGTAAACAAATACGTAAAAACACTGAAATTTATTTTATTAGGTAAGCACTCTTTTTAAAAATCAAGTACAAATAATCTCACCTAGATACATTATTAGCTTATAGATTGTACATATACAAAATTATGGAAATGGATTGGGAGATGAGTGGTTATTCCAGAATCAATGATTAAATGTATAGAGTGAAGTTGACTCCAAAGAAGTGTGTATATTGCGATCATGTATTTTATAATTCTGTTGTGGAAATTAGAGGCTTACATGTACGAGATATAAGATGCCTTGTTCTTTCATTTCTTTGTTTGGGTTAGTCAGGTCAAGATCTTGCGTTACATAATTTGTACACTGTAAACTATCTATTTACAACTTCATTTATTATATCAACTGATTGAAATGCTAACTGCATTCTTTAACCATGTAGACTGTCGAATCATTTTTTGAAGAAACCCTTGTCGCAATTCCCGACTCAGTATTGGATTCGCCTGTTGCCAAACTACCACCTGGCCGTAGAGATCTTTTTGCCAACATAGACAATTTATTGCCTCCGCCATACAAAACAAGAGAAGAAGAGGCAGTAGTCATTTGCGCTTAAGTTCATGTGTATTCTGCAAACCCAAGTTGAGCTCATTGCCTTTATTTATTTATTTTAAATCGAGTAATAGGTCTCATGTAACAGTATTATCAATAAAACATGAATGCATAGTTATATTTTTTAAGCAATTGACTTTGAATTGTAATCCATTCCATTGAGTACTCTTGATAAAAAAAATAGTGGATTGAAATTCTGTGCGGGGTTTGCTTTCGCTCTTGTTTGTGCCGCAGAATCTCGTAGTGGGTGTTAAGATTGTGAAGTAAACTATTAGCACAAAAAACCCTGCTATGTGTTGGGTCATGGGTGGCTCACATAACCCTGCATAAGATAAGCCTGGCCCACACCTGAAAAATAGAAATTCAATGAGAGATTTTTTTTCTTTGGTAGCCATTCATAAAACATATAGTACATCCAATGGCCACTGGTTCAGGATAATCCCATATTCCACGTGGCAATAGTTTATTGGAGACTTTGTAAATGAGATAAGATAATGGGGTTTCCAACCAGTTCCTCATCCAATATATTCTTTTATCAAACATAACTACTTCTACTTGCAACATAGAAGGACTAGTTTTGGGGGTTAGTTCAAGACTGAGATCACATAGCAGAGATGGCATCAATCACCATGGCAGCATCACTCATTGGCAGCTCAGTCACCAGCAACCGGTCTCCGGTGGCATCCCAGAGGAGGTTGGTGGTGGCAAATGCTTCCAAAGCAGTTGAAGGAGAAAAGACAAGGGTCAGTTACGAGAATGACAAGGAAGGCAACAATGGCAGGAGGAACATGATGTTTGCTGCAGCAGCAGCAGCTGTTTGCTCTGTTGCTGGAATGGCCATGGCTGATGAGCCCAAACGTGGCACCCCTGAAGCTAAGAAAATCTATTACCCTGTTTGTGTGACCATGCCAACTGCTAAGATTTGTCACAAATGAGGGCCTTAGGCTGTAATGTAATGTTTTCCATTTCATATGATGATCCTTTGACTCTCTGTACTATTTGTTCATGAAACAATCTACTTTGCCTTTTCTCTTGTGTACACTTTCTGATTTTTTCCCTTTGCTAAGATCGTTTTTAAGTTGATATGTTGAACGATCTCTAACTCAATTTTCTTTAGAGTGGAAGAAAAATATTAGATTTGCACTACAGTGATGAAAGGAAACAACCTTGAATAGGTTTAACTTGAAGCCATTCATCAAAAACTATTCAGATGCATTAACTTCAACCAACTGAAGAAGATTAGCATCATATTACTCTCAGCCTACACAATATAATGTCATAGTAAATTAAGTCAGATGTTTCAGCCTTCTGTGTTTGAAGTAAACTCGAATTTTAGTTCATTAAAATTCAACAATTGATTTGGTAAATTTAGTTTATTAACTACATTAGCACTCTAAACGTAATAAAAAATAAATAAGTTGATTATTTATTGTGGACCTTCGATATACAATTCTGATATAGTATATTTCATATTTAAAGTGATATTATCAAAATTCAAACTTTTGACCAACCGATGAAGGATCACAAGTTTAGAATCAGTAAATTTTTCTTTAATAATTTATTTTCGTAAAAATATCACTTGTTCTTTAATTAATGAGAAACATAAATAAATATTTATAACAAACAAAACATTTTCTCTCTCTTTAAAATTAAATATTTATTTAATTATTTAACTTTTAATGATTTTTTTTTCAAAATATTAAATAAATTTAATAAAATTTGATTAAAATGGTAAAATTTACGTATTTATAAAATTAGAGATTAAATTAGATGAAAGTTTTAAAAAATGATTAATTTTAATTTTTATTAAAAATTAAAAATTAAAAATTAAAAACATAATTAATTCATTTTCATATATATATATATATATATATATATATATATATATATATATATATATATATATATATATATATATTATATTTTCTTTACTTATTTTGATTGGCAAAAGTTGTAGCGAAAAACGCTGATACAAGGTTGGATTGAAAGGTTGAACAAAATTTGTTTTTCTAAATTGTGTAATCAATGTGCGAAGCTAGTTTTTCAATAGAAAAATACTTAAAAGTTTTTAAAATAATTATGCAAATTATGAAAGACATTGTTAAACATATATAAAAGAAAAAAAATGAATTTAGTCCATTTAATTTGTATTCCTAATTTTGGTTTTTCATTTTCTTTTATAGTTTTTAAACATGTTTATAGTTTAAAAAAATTGGAATTAGTTTTTTTTAAATTTTGTTTAATTTAATTATTTAATCAAATTTATTAACATTTTAAAAAGTAAATTAATATTAATAAAAAAATATGTTAAATAAAATAAACAATTTAAATATTATTTTGGCCCGTATTTAAAACAAAATTTATTTAAAAAATTAAATTTACACATTTATAAAATTTAAAAGCTGAATTAAGTAAAAATTTTGAAAAGATAATAATTTTAATTTTCACTTTTAAATTAAAGGAAATAAATATATTTAACGTGTTTAAAAAGACAAATTTGCTTCAATCACTAATTTCACGTCAGTTTATTCTTATTTTAGCTAATACAAATTATTTTAATAATTTCTTAAATGCGTAAATTAGGTCATATAACAATAATAACAAGCCATTATTATTACACTTTATCTTCATGAAAAAGTAACAAAATGAAGAACATTTGAAGTAGTAGATATAAAGCGTGAGATGCACCAGGTTGCTTGATTTCTCCGCCAGCAACCCTTGCAACCGTTGATTCATCTTCATCATCTTCTTCTTCTTCATTTTCTCCTTCTTCTTCTTCTTCTTCTTCTTCTTCTGTGTATTATTATGGAGGTAGATTTGAATTCGCAGTGCAACTGGACCATTCCTTCCTCAGCCTCTATCAGCGACACCATCACTTTCCAATCCTCGTACTGTCTCCTCAGCGACGATCAACGAACTGATCCCACTCCTCTTCTTCTTCATTCTCCTTCGCCAGATTCTCCTCCCTGCGAGATCAAGAGTAACCTCGTTTTCCCTTCACTGTACTTCAATTTCACTAACGCTTTTCATTAATTCACTATTTTGTGAACAGTTACTTTTCCGGAGAAGCACGAGCTCAGACAAATCTACGTTCGGAGCACTGCTCGCGTCTACGAGATTTACTTTGCGCCCAACGCTCGCACTAACAATGACTATCTCTGCACTGTCCGATGCGGTCTTGCTGTTAGAGACGATCACGTTCTTCGTTCCCCCGCTGTCCAAAATATAGGTGGTGACGATAATGTTAAAACTGAAGATGATTGGGTTGAGGTCAAAGTTCCCGATTCTCCCAACATCGCTTCGGAAACAAAACCCTACCTCAATTCCATTAAAACATATCAGTCTCAGGTATTCCTATAAGTGATTTCCCGATTTTGTTGGCTTTCGTTTAGATTCGTAAATAAATAGTAAGAACAACTGGATTGATGTGCTCTGTTAAGGTAGATGTGGAATAAACTGTTGTAGCTTTAATTTGGTGAAAGGTTGGGCTTAAATTACACTGCTCCTCCGTTCAGGAGAGAGTGACGATGCATGCATAGTTTTTGTAATTTGAACTGGTTGCATACAAAGTTTTTTGCTCTGTACATCGTTGGCACGAGTTTGATTTGACAAGACTTTTAAACTCCATGACATGAGATGATAGTAGTGTTTGTGAAACATTACTCTGGTTTTGTGTGGACTTCGGATGAAGTTTTTTCGTGGACACTTATTAGAGGAAAAAAAAGGAATAATGAATTGTGTTTTTCTCATAAACTAAGATCAGCTTATTTAAGCATTTGGAGAAGATAAATCAGAGTGCTTTTGTAGAAGTTAAAGACTAAGTTGATTTTGGATTGTCGGAGAACTTAATTCATCTAACCTTCTTATTCTCTTTTTTTATGCCATTGTATTTTGCCAAAATTACCTCTTAAATCCTATAGTTTATAGTGGGTTATTTAAAATTAGCTATTGGTTATTTTTATAGAGTCAGGATAAATTCTTTGTTAGTCTTGTTCCCGAAGGTTCATTTTATCTGAATGGGGAGAAACTAACGCACTCCATCTCTTAGGAGGACAGGGGGAGCGTGTTTATAAAAATTAAGGGGTAGGAAAGAGTACACAAGCATAATTCAGGCGAGGAAGTGTAGTTTTCTCTGTAATAAACAATACATTATTCTCGTAACTTAGAATCTGAATGTGCCATATTAGATGGAGGTACCTTACCGATCTGATTTCAGTGTCCTCTTTTCCTGTCTCCAGGATCTTTATGAGGCTACCGCAGAGATTGATGATGCAAATCCTTGCATATCTGTTACTATTCGGCTGCTCTCGCTTCAGAATAAAGGATGTGTTTATGTTGATGAGATTTATGTGTTTGCTGATCCTGTTGATTCAGCCGATTCAGAAAGCCAAGAAAAGCCTTATGAAAACTCATCCGGAAGTTCCCTCATGGCTATGTTTATCCCCACTTTAATGCAATTATCTAAGACAACAGGGCTCAACAATTTAAATGCTCTCAGAAAGGAAAAGTCCCTTGTTCAGGGGGATGATTTGGAAGCAACTCTCCCTAGTGATTCTATAATTAAAACCCAGGTGATAGGAAACACTAGCATAACTGATCCCCAAGAAGTGACGTTGAAGGAGGTAGAAGGAGGTTGGGTGGGTCCATCCCAGCCAGATGTCATCCCACAAAATGCTAAAATCGAGAGTAACCCTGTTGCAGTACCCTCACAAGCTGCCAAAATGGACAGCACTTACACAGTTGTACCCTCAAAAATTGCTGAAATGCAGAACAACCATAGTTCTGTTCCCTTTGAATTTGCTAAAATGGAGTGCAACCGTAGTTCTGTCCCTTCACAAGTTGGTATTCCTGAGAGCAAAGGTGGTTTTTCTTTGGGTTACAGTGTTGAAAGGCTCCTGGAACAGCTTGTATCACGCATGGACAGGATAGAAGAAATCTGTTTGGGCTTTCAAGAGAAAATGGTAGTGCCCATGAGCAGCATGGAGGTGAGACTTCAAAGAGTTGAGCAGCAAGTGGACACATTGACTAAGAATTTGCAGAACTCGGCATTGCCATCACATTGTAAGATTTTCTCTCCTGATGCTTCTTGTATTGTATCAGATGCCAACACCAGTGATTGTCCTGATTTTCTGGTGACTAGGCAAAGTGAACCAGATGAGAATCATTTACACGCAGAGATACCACATGTCCCTCCTTCTCCTAATAGGTCTGATTCAGGAAATATTTCTCCATTGCTCCCAGGTCTTGTAGTTACGGCACCCGAGTTTCCTGATAGCGAGGATGAAGAAGATAATGCATCAGGGCAAGAAACAAGTTCTTTGAAAGATAAAGGAAAGCACACAATTGATGATGCCTTATCTTCTGCATTGGCTAATTTTTTGTCTTCTGTGTCGATGGACTCTCCAAAGTATACGAAAAGTCTAACTGTTAAAGCCCCTGAGTTTTTAAATGAAGATGATGATGATGACCATGGGAGCAGTAGTGAGATAGCGAAAAATGACTCGGTTTGTCTTGCAGAAAGTGAGGAATTTAGTCACATCCAAGTGTTGGCTTCATCTAATACTTTGGAAAATGGTGAGAAGATAAACCCAGATTCTAATTATAAACAATCTGAAAAGACTGCCCAGGAAGCTGTAGAAGATGGACAACTTTACATTGCTAGAGGAGATCAAGAAGAGGTGCATGTGAAAACTAATAGTTTAACTGAACTCAATCCTGAAACAGGTTTTATTGACAACTCTGAAGAAGATGATAATGGAAAAATCAATGGTCATAAAAGTGATGATTCGCTCGACAATCAGATTCCATATTGTTATAGCATCACCGAGGAAGGACGGACTGCAGGAACTGAAGATACTGTTGCAAGAGAGGTACCTAGAAAGGCCTCCCACGAGAATATCTTAGAGAACGTTCTTGGATTTTCAGTAGGTTCCTCTGTTGTAGATTTTGAAAACCCAATCTTGGACGTGAAATTTATTTCTCAGAGAAGTCCTGCCACTGATCGTTTCCTTGAAGAGCTTCTTCAAGT